TTAGAGGTTTGACAGAAAGAAGCTGAAAAACCTTTGAGCAAGTTTAATGGGGCCTCAGGTCTCCAATAAATTTTAACTAACATAAGCTTGGTTAGTTTCTTCTATTACATATATAAATGTCCCTCGTCTCTGTTTTCCAGAAGCTGGGGATGGGCGACAGGGGATCGATCACTTGATGATTTACCTGTTCTGTTCATTCCCTCTGAAGCACCTGGCATTGGCTACTGTTGGAAGACAGGATACTGGGCTAGATGGACCCTTGGTCTGACCCAATATGGCTGTTCTTATGTTGTTATTTAAGTGATTTTTCTGCTTACATACTATGTATACTGGCAGCTGGTGATGGCAGTAGAAATCATAGCTAGTTGCCATGGCAACATTATAAAGTACTGCAATAAATGCAAATACTGTACTGTGATCAGTTGGTGTATTATTCCTCCTATCTTTCTTCATGGAAGAGATTCAGACCTACATTTTTAAACATAAAATGTATTTCTACTTCTAGTCCTTCTTTTGCAGCAGCCTCACATTTCATTCCTTAAAGATGTGTGTCTACAGAGATGCTGTCAAGAGACTAGTAGAATTATATACTTCAAGTAATCCCTAAACTTTCTTTTATTAAATATATGGAGGAGTATTCCTGTCACTTTCTATTCAGTGTTTTTCCTATCAACAGTTATATTGGCCAGGAGAGTTAATAAATTCAGGGGATTTATTCCTCTGGAATCCTTATATGCAGTTGTTCCCAGAAGTGGTGATTCTCAGGCCTGCACCAGAATTTTCTGTCCCCCAAAATTCTTTTTACTTCAGCCAGTCTGTTTTCATTCTGTGTGTACCAAGCCCTTCCACAATTAGGAGAATCAGATGTGTACTTTAGATGCGATCAGGTCGTTCAAATTTTGTTTTCATAAAACAAAAAAATTGGATGCAACTTCAGGATTAGTTGAGGGACATAAGAAGGGGTACAAAGGCATCCATGTCCACTGTTTGCAGATAGATACATTCAGTAACTTGTCAGATCTACAAATTGTTCATTCAAGATTGCCCTCCCTCTGTGAGGACTCACTCATTCAGACACATGGCCATTCCCCATGCAGAACAGTGTTTAGTTCAAATAACTTCGCTGTATGGCTACCTGGTGTTCAGCGTATTCTTATCCATCGCTTTAAAGTAAAGCTGTGTTGTCTTTGTCTGATAGACTTTTGGACAAAGAGTTCTGGCGTCTTTCTTGCTTTTCCTTTATTAAAACTCGTCATGTGGTGTGGGAAGAAAGAAGAAAAGCAAAAAGTTAGCAAGTACAAAAATCATCTCAAACAAAAGCTGTTTATTCTTTTGGTTAAATTTTCCTGGTGTTTTAAATTTCTCTCTCATTTGTAAAGATTGATTTTCCTGCTGCCTACTTCCCAGTTGTAAGGGATCTTGGAGCACCAATTTCCCACAAGAGAGGACAGAAAAATTTACTTACCCGTACATAATTTTTCCTTCTCTGAAGTGGGCACCTGGTGCTCCACGAGACCACACGCAGGCTATCACCAAATTTTGCATTACATTCAAGCTGCACGGGAAATACATCAATCCTTCCTTTTCTCTTTTGGAGCATTTCTACAGAGAGAGAAATTGAGAGCTTGGGATCTGACTTTGCTGTAATTCTTCATTTCCATTTTTTGTATAATAAACAAATAAGATAAAACAATGAAGAGTCCTTGTGGCACCTTAGAGACTAACCAATTTATTTGGGCATAAGCTTTCGTGGCCTAGAACCCACTTCATCAGATGCATGGAGTGGAAAATACAGGAGCAGGTATAAATACATGAAAAGATGTGACTTGCCTTACCAAGTGTGAAGTTAGTCTAATGAGACAATTCAGTTGACAGAAGGATACCAAGAGAGGAAAAATAACTTTTGAAGTGCTAATGAGAGTGGCTCATTTCAGATAGTTGACAAGAAGGTGGGAGTAACAGTAGGGGAAAATTAGGTTTAGGTTTTATAATGACCCAACCACTCCCAGTCTTTATTCAGGCCTGATCTGATGATGTCCAGTTTGCAAATTAATTCCAGTTCTGCAGTTTCATATTGGAGTCTGTTTTGGAAGTTTTTTTGTTGAAGAATTGCCACTTTTAGGTCTGTTGTTGAGTGACCAGGGAGATTGAAGTGTTCTACTGCTTTTTGGATCTTATGATTCCTGATGTCAGATTTGTGTCCATTTATTCTTTTGCGTAGAGATTGTCTGGTTTGGCCAATGTACATGGCAGAGGGACATTGCTGGCACATGATGGCATATATCACATTGGTAGATGTGCAGGTGAACGAGCCCCTGATGGTGTAGCTGATGTGGTTAGGTCCTATAATGGTGTCCCTTGAATAGATATACAGACAGAGTTGGCATCGGGGTTTGTAGCAGGGTTTGATTCCTGGGTTGGTGTTTTTGTTGTGTGGTGTGTAGTTACTGGTGCGTATTTGCTTCAGGTTGGGTGGCTGTCTGTAAGCGAGGACTGGCCTGTCCCCCAGGGTCTGTGAGAGTGAGGGATTGTCCTTCAGGATACGTTGTAGATCCTTGATGATGCTCTGGAGAGGTTTTAGTTGGGGGCTGTAGGTGATGACTAGTGGCATTCTGTTACTTTCTTTGTTGGGCCTGTCTTGTGGTAGGTGACTTCTGGGTACCCTTCTGGCTCTGTCAATCTGTTTCTTCACTTCACTAGGTGGGTATTGTAGTTTTAAGAACTATTTTTCCTCCCTTGGTGTCCTGCTGTCAATTGAATTGTCTCATTAGACTAACCTCACACTTGGTAAGGCAATTCACATCTTTTCATGTATTTATACCTGCTCCTGTATTTTCCACTCCATGCATCTGATGAAGTGGGTTCTAGTCCACGAAAGCTTATGCCCAAATAAATTGGTTAGTCTCTAAGGTGCCACAAGGACTGCTTGTTGTTTTTGCTGATACAGACAAACACGGCTACCACTCTGAAATAAGATAAGTATCCTGCCTGGAGATATCTAATCTGTTGTAATTATATTAATTAGAATTGATAGTTTATTATCTTAGCTTGGGCAATTGACGGGGGAGTGAAAGGGAGTCATTTCTCTGAAGAGCTCCACCTGGTGGCAGAACATACTAAAGCTAGGCAGTTTTTTTGTTTTGTTTTTTAAAAAGAGGAGCCTCCAGGCTTTGAAAGTTGAGGAGGAATATTCCAGTTATAATGGATCACAGAGCGCAGGGTGCCCCATGTAGAAAGAAAAAATTAGAATGGGTGAGTACATTTTAGCATGTGTGTGTTAGATTCACATTTGGGGTGTTATAAAAGTGCAATAATGTAAATAATCTTTAGTTAGAAATCTTACTGCATTTCCTAGAACGTTTGATAATGCTGTTTTAAAAAATATTAATTGAAGTTGGTATATATGCTTTTTGCTATAATTTAAAACTTTAGCATTTTGACTCTTTAACGCCAAAGGTGTTTTAAAGTCCACTTAACAAATATAAATAAAACATTTTTAAAAATTAGCATTTCAGTATTTTTATAGTTATAAATAAAATCTCAACAATAACTATTTTTATATTTATTTCATACATCTCAAAGAAGGATACAAGAGTAGCTTTCATAGTATCTGATCATTCAATGAGAGGACATGTAAAGTAACCCTGTTAGTGCTCCTTCATAAACACTGGCACAGCTGAGTACTGTGAAATAGTGTAGTAGAGAGAGGACAACATTTAACATTGGTAAAGTATCATAACTAGTTTTTATTAAACTATTTGACAGAAATTCAGGCAACCAAATGAAGTGTTAGATATAGTCATCAGGTTTATGTGATCTATAGCATGTGTTCAGTTTAAAAAACCCCACAAAACTGGAGAAGTGCTTTCACGGCTAATCACCCAGGTGTTGTCCTTCCTCATCCCCTTCTCAGGCAGCAAATAAATTTAGCCTTTCCAGAGATGCCAGTCTTACAGGCTCCATAGACAAAACAGAGCTCTCTGATTTTAAATCAACACTTTATACCTTGTAAGTAAAAGTCTAAATAGCCAGATAAGAAACTATTTCAAGACTTCTCCTTCTATTCTTCCTTGTTCCAACAATTGCTAATATGACATACACAAAGGCCAATAAGAACAACCTATCCCTGAATTCCCAGCTAGCAAATATAACAAGGATTATAACAGAAAAAAAATCTCTTCTTAAAATAAATCAAATATATAGTAAGTTGGAAAAGTCTCAAATGACTCTTCATTTTGTTAGGCTGTTTCTCCAGAAATATCTGCTTTTTCAAATTCTAAAAGTATGGATTACTTTTGGGCCTTTGGAGAAACGTTCTTGATATTCCTTGGTGTATACTTCAAGATGAGTAATGAAAAGTTAGAGTCCTATTTCTGAGATAACTCACAGTTCTCTCTTAAGTACTATCAATATCTGGTGCAGAAATAGAACAGTAGCTCCTTGTTACTAAATCACTGTAGATTCATTGTAACTTTAGCATCTTGTACAGTTCTCTTCCTCAGAGAGAGGGTTTAGTGAGTAATGTATTGCTAAATTTTATAGTGCCAGAACCCTGCCCTCCACTCTTGACCTCACAGCTTCCCCTGATCCTTCTCTCCCCCACCCACCCTTTCCACTTTTCTGCCCACTTCATACATGCCCTGCCCCCCTTTCTCTCTTCCTCTTCTCTCCTATCACCTTCCCCAAACACACTTTCCCTTTGCACCCAACACTCTGCTCTATTTGCCACTTTGCATAGGTGTCTGGTGAAAATATTCTATGGTGGTGGTGGGTGGGGGGAAAGGAGAATTGAGTATATTCTACCTGGATATTATTGCCATACTCTCTGAAACATTATCCAATGGAGAATCTCATGGCTGAAGTTAGTTACTATAGTTTCTAAAGTCATATCATCCAATATGATGATTCCAAACATTCAAAAATATGCCCTTGTTACCTGACTCACTGTTTTCAGGTATGCCAACCAAGTGCAAGTTCATGATTGTGCATTTGTTTTCTAGCTCATCAGTCTTAATGTTGAACTGTTTACAGTCCTTGACCACGGTATCCAAAATGGCCTCATGTCCAGAAGATGAAGTTTCAAGGTTTGTGACATGGAGCTTTACACTGTGAATTCTTTTTAAAAATGGATTAGAGCTTTTTGTCAACCTCCAGCTGGGCTTGAATGCTATCTGTTCATTTATGTAATAAATCCAGGCTTTTGGAGATGGTAGATTTCAGGTCCATTAGTTGACCTTGTACTAAGATTGATGGTGATTGGACTGAGAATGTTTTTGTGAGACCAAATTCAGTTTTCTTTCAATCAAAAATAGCAGTACAGAGATGAATGACGCTAACAAAAAAAAGGAATAAAAGGAATAAAAATTAATCCAATTCCTTGAGAGAAATATTTAGAAACACAATTGCTATAGGTAGAGCCTTGCAAATCTGCAGATATCTGCTTTATGTCCTCAGACCATGTTTGAAGATCGTGGATTGGATGCAGATACAAATTTTATATCCGCGCAGGACTCTAACTATATGACTTATGCATGCATTTTTCCTTCCCCTGTTTCTATTCTCTCCCATTCAAATCTTTAATTTTCTAAAATTGTTAATTCCTGCCTAAAGCTTAGCAAAAAAGATGCTGAAATGTATTCAAAATTGTCTTTCTAAATCTTAGAATTTACTCAGAATGTAATAACACTTCTTCCGTTTGTTTCTGGAGGAGGTGTAGGGGGGGATAAATTTGATACTCATGCAAGTTTTAATATTGCTTAGAGCAAAGGCATAGCAGCTGCTGTGCAGGCTGCCCCATATTGCCAATTAAACTTATTTCTGACCAACTGTACCTTGCTATTCCAAATGCTGTATTTTCCCAAACAGACTATATGTTGTGTATAAAAGTGGAGGGGTATGTGTTGTGATATGGATATATGTAGTACTGAGATAAATCCACCTAAATAATTTTCTGTTATGATCACGCAGCAGTATTTGAATTTAGATTTCCAGAGTTGAAAAGTTAACATGTTACACCAATGTATTTTCCTGTCCTCAACTGTTGTGGTTTTAATGGAGAGACACTGATAATTTAAGTGAGATCTTTCAGAGAGGTGGAATTTGCAATAGATGTGAAAATAAGTGTAGATAGTTATGGCTGGTGATGGAAGGCTCAGATCAACCTTACCTATAGCAATACAATACATTACTGATCTCTTTTTCTGCAAATAAGATTTTCTGTATATTTGTAAGTATAAATACAACCCTCCCCCCACAACATCAAACTATTTGAGAGAGAGAGAAAAAAAGATTAACAGATAGGTACCTAAATGTCCTCTTTTTCTTACATAGATAGCTGATGACAACCAAAATGTGAAAATCTGACAAAACTCTAAGCTTCAAAATACTAATTGTAATTATTCTAATTATCGTATATGAAATGTATTCTAAATAGCTAATCCAAGAAGACATCTCACTTGTAGGATACCTCTGATCTTCAGAAGCCAGAACAGTGATCAGAATACAAAATGTCTTTAACAATTCACTGTTTCAAAAACATATGTGGTAAAAATCTGTGTGTTTCCATTCATTGATTCCATTGCATATTTTGAGCAAAGGCTAGCTAAGAAGCTTAGTATTTTCTTCCTATTTACTACTACTTGCTCCTTCCATATTGAGGTGATTTTCTACATTACTGATAGAAATTAGATATGGAAAAAGCCTGTGGAGTCATCTAGTTTATTGGATGGATTGCTGCCTGCAATATGTTCTTGAAACTTCTTTGTTGCTGTCACAGAGGTGACTTGGTATAACTTGTCCACATTGGTCATCTTTGAGGAATATTCTTTCTTGATTCCAAGTACTTCATACTCTAAAAGCATATGTATATACTGTTTAGGAATTTGTAATATTTTTATATGGCTAATTATTCCTGATATTGTAAACCTTTTATGAGCTGTTTCAGTGTAATGGTCTACCTTCACATGAAAGCTATATCTCGTCTTGCCAGCTTTACCTACATATACATTTTTGGAAATACCTGGGGCATTACCAGATAATATAAAGAATAACTGTGGGAAAATAAATGAGATGTATTTCACTAAAATTCGAAAGATGGATTTTGTGGCTCAACCCTCAATTAGCATCCTGACCAAGCTTCTCAGTAAATGTACTTTCTTTTCATTTTCAGGCCAGAGCCTCAACAGAAAGCTCCATCTGCACCACCACCTCCACCTCCGCCCCCACCTCCGCCTCTGCCAGAGCCAGCACCACCAGAACCAGAGGAGGAGATTCTGGGATCTGATGATGAGGAGCAAGAAGACCCTGCAGATTATTGCAAAGGTTTGTGTAATTAAGCACTATATAAAATGTTGAATGTTAAATAGTAAACATCTCTATAGCCCTTGACAACTTTGGTCCTCAGGAGCCACTTGAACAGTCTTCTTTTAGAGTGAAGTTTATGTTTTTGTGTGGTAGACAGAGTTTTCTTAGTGCTGGTCCTAGATTATGGAGTTCACTCCTGCAAGAGTCAAGGGTATGTCTACACTAGAGAGACTATTCAGGCATTGCTATGTCGCTGTAGCTATGCTGGCATAACCCTGTAGTATAGATGCTGCCTATGTTGTTGCTGTAGGAACACCACCTCCCTGAATAATGGTAGCTGTAAGTCGATGGAAGCATTCTTCTGTTGACATAGCTTCATCTTACAGGGGGCTAGTTTGGCATAACTGTGTCGGGCAGGGAGTGCTTTTTTTCCCCACACACCTGACCAATGTAATTATGTTGATCTAATTTTTAAGTGTAGACCAAGCCTAAAAATGGCCAGAAAAGTCACCATTTTCTGTCTATGCAATGCTTATCACTTTTATTTACTTTACTTTTCCCTAGGCAAAGGAATGGAGAGAACATTTTTGGACTAACATTAGCCACATTATTTTTTAACTCTGCAAGGCTTTCAAGTACTTTGATGACTGGGATGATGTAATAACCTATACTTAGAATAGAATTTATTTATCTGATTCTTCCCTCTAACTTATCTGCACCATCCTGAGACTCTCATTCACTCACTGGAAATCTTCTGATCCTGTCCTTGTACACTATATGGAAACTTTAGTCAGGCCGTTCTTATTCTGCTATTCTGCCTGATTTATGGTGAGCATGGGCTAATTAGATCCAATCAGCTAGTCTAATTGCCCCAACTTCTGCCGGGAGTCTTGGCACCATATCTTGGGGGCATTTTTGCTCTAAGTCCCTCGCCACATCACTGGGAATCTGGTAAAGTACAAAACATTATTTTAGTGGAGAATGCAGATAAACTTAAATAAGCCTTCATGAAACTCTTCAGCTATTCACTGTGGTAACCAAATTGATTGTACTGTGTACTCAAGACAAGTGAAAGAGAAGTAAATATTGAGCAAAAAACGTTAATGTGAACCAGGAGCAACCAAAAAAGTGCAGATCTATTGCCCCAGGAGAACTCCTGTTCTTAGTGTTATGCATGTTACATCACATAGGCGCATAATTTTGTCAAAGCATTCCATACACCAAAGAATTTCTAAAAAATATTCTTTGAAGTTGGATAAGGCCAGAGTAAAATCTTGTAATTGTTGAAGATGTGTTTTGGTTGCTGTCAATCTTTCTCTAATTCTACCAGTTGTACAGTAAAATTATGAAGTTTTATTTAAAAAACCCAAACCAGTTTTTGTGTAGCTTACTAATTGCCACACCAATTACTCTTACAAAAATATTCCAAATACCAGGCTTTTCATGAGATGGGATGGAGGGGTTCTTTAAGCTCCAAAGATACCTTTTTCTTTTACCAATTTTATTTCACTTCAAACCTTAATGCTCTGCATCTTGATGACCACCATTCCTGTTCAGAAGAGCTGGATGCTATTCCCTATGAAACTGTCACTACTATCTCCAAATCAGCCAGAAGGACTACAGCAAAGCAACAGAATTCATACACCCTTCTCCTAAGGGCCGAGTGGAGTGACTTGCCAGTTTGTTCATCTGCTTCCAGTCAAGCAAAAGAGCACCAAGTTCAATCCTTGATCTGATCATACATCTGGTAACTTACTGTGCTGTCAGTAGACTGCCAGCCCATTCAGTTATAGGCTTAAAAAACATAAGAATGGCCATGCTGGGTCAGACGAATAGTCCATCTAGCCCAGAATCCTGTCTTCTGGTAGTAGCTGGTGCCAGATGCTTCAGAGGGAATGAACAGAACAGGGCAATAAATGAGTGGTCCATCCCCTAACTTCCAGTCCCAGCATCTGGTAGTCAGAGGTTTGGGGACACTTAGAGCACGGGATTGCATCCCTGTCCATTGTGACTAGTAGCCATTGATGGACCTATCCTCCATGAACTTATCTAATTATTTTTTGAAAACCAGTTTTAGCCTTCACAACAACCTGTGGCAACAAGTTCCATAGATAGAATGTGTGGTGTTTGAAGAAGTACTACCTTACGTTTGTTTTAAGCCTGCTGCCTATTAATTTCATTAGGTGATCCTTGATTCTTGTGTTGTGTAAAGGAGTAAATAACACTTCCTTATTCACTTTCTCCACACCATTCATGATTTTAAATACCTCTATCATATCCCCCCTTAATTGTCTGTCTTCTACAGTGAACAGTCTCAGTCTTTTTTAATCTGTCCTCATATGGAAGATGTTCCATACTCCTAATAATTTTTGTTGCCCTTCTCTGTACTTTTTTCAATTCTAATATATATTTTTTAAGATGGGGCAACCAGAACTGCACACAGTCTCCAAGTTGTGGGTGTACCATGGATTTATATAGTGGCATTATGATATTTTGTGTCTTGTTATCTATCTTTCCTAATGGATCCTAACATTCTGTTAGCTGTTTTGACTGCTGCTGCACTTTGAGCAGATGTTTTCAGAGAACTATCCACTATGACTACAAGATCTCTTTCTTTAATGGTAACAGCTAATTTAGTCCCCATCATTTTGTATGTATAGTTGGGACTATGTTTTCCAGTGCACATTACTTTGTGTTTGTCAGCATTGAATTTCATCTGCCATTTTGTTGCCAAGTCAGCCATTTTTGTGAGATCCCTTTGTAACTCTTTGCAGTCAGCTTTGGACTTAACTGTCTTGAGTAATTTTGTATTGTCTGCAAGCTTTGCTATCTCACTGTTTATCCTTTTTCCCATATCATTGATGAATATGTTGAGGAGCTTTGGTTCCATAAAGATCCTTGGGGATCCTACTATTTACCTCTCTCCACTGTAAAATCTGACCATTTATTCCTACTTTCCCCCCTGTCTTTTAACCATTTACTAACCTGTGAGAGGACCCTTCCCTCTTAACCCATGACTACTTATTTTACTTAAGAGCCCTTGGGGATGGAACTTTGTCAAAGACCTTTTGAAAGTCCAGGTACACTATATGCACTGGATCACCCTTGTCCAATGCTTGTTGACTCCGTCAAAGAAAGGTAATAGATTGGTGAGGCGTGATTTCCCTTTACAAAAGCCGTGTTGACTCTTCCCCAAGATGTTGTGTTCATGTGCTTTATAATTTATTCTTTATTATAGTTTCAACCGTTTGCCTGGCACTAAAGTTAGCCTTACCTTCCTGTAATTGCCAGGATTGTCTGTGAAGTTATTTTTAAAAAACAGTGTTATATTAGCTATCCTCTAGTCAGTTGGTACAGAAGCTGGTTGAAGTGATAGGTTACATACCTCAGATAGGAGCACTGCAATTTCGTATTTGAGTTCCTTCAGAACTCTTGGATGAATTCCATCTGGTCCTGGTGACTTATAACTCTCTACTTTTTTCAGTTTGTTCCAAAACCTCCTCTATTGACATCTCAATCTGGGAAAGTTCCTCGATTTGTCACCTAAAAAAAATGGCTCAGGTTTGGGATTCTCCCTCACATCCTCTGCAGTGAAGACCAATGCAAAGACTTAATTTAGCTTCTTCACAACAGCCTTGTCTTCCTTGAGTGCCCTTTTAGCACCTAGGTCATCCAGTGGCCCCACTGATTGTTTGGCAGGCTTCCTACTTCTTATGTACTTAAAGAAAAATTTTTTTTTGCTGTTTAGTTTTTGTGTCTTTTACTAGTTGCTCTTCACATTCTTTTTTGGCTTGTCTGATTTTATTTTTACACTTGTCTTGCCAGAGTTCATGATCCCTTCTATTTTCCTCAGAAGGATTCAACTTCCAGTTTTTAAAGGATATCTTTTTGTCTCTAACCACCTCTTTAACATTGTTGTTTAGCCATGGTGGCACTTTTTTGGTCCTCTTGCTGTTTTTTTTTTTTAACTTGGGTTATAATTTAGTTTGAGCTTCTATTATGGTGTGGTAATTTTCCATGCACTTTGCCAGCATTTCACTGTTGTGACTGTTTGTCTTAATTTCTGTTTAATTAGCTTCCTCATTTTTGTGTAGTTCCCCTTTTTGAAGTTAAATGCTACTGTGTTGGGTTTCTGTGGTATTTTGCCCCCAACAGGAATGTTAAATTTAATTACATTATGGTTGCTATTACTGAACAGTTCAGTTATAGTCACCTGATGGACCAGATCTTGTGCGCCACTTAGGACTTTTTCAAGAATTGCTCTATGTGGATTCCAGGACTAGCTGGTCCATGAAACAGTCATTAATGGTGTCTGTGCATTTTATATCTGCATCCAATCTTGAGGTGATATGTAGCCAGTCAATATGGGGATAGTTGAAATCCCCCATTATTATTAGGTTTTCTGTTTTTGTAGCCTCTCTAATCTTCCTGAGCATTTCATAATCACCATCACCATCCTGGTCAAGTGGTCAGTAGTATATTCCTACTGCTATCCTCATTATTCAAGCACGGAATTTCTATCCATAGAGATTCTGTGGTACAGTTTGATTCATTTAAGATTTTTACTATATTTGACTATGCTTTTTTTCACATGCTGTGCCACCCTCTCACCAGCATGACCTATTCTATCATTCCTATATAGTTTGTACCTTGGTATTACCATGCCCCATTGATTATTATTGTTCCACTGAGTTTCTGTGATCGCTATTATATTCAATATCTTCACAGAATACTAGGAACTCCTGTTCAACCATCTCAGTATTTAGACTTCCAGCGTTTGTATTCAAGCACTTAATAGAATTTAAATGTACCTACATTAAATGTGCTGTACTTAAAATTCTTTTCAAGGATATTTGACTTCCACAATGTTTGCTTACTTCATGATGGTATAGCCTGATAACTGTAAACCTATAGATGACCTACTTATTTGCCCCATTATCTATTCACAATGGCATATGAATGTGCAAATCTTTGCTTGCTATTTTAATTTCTGGCTACAAAATACATGTATCTTTTCA